AGGGACATAGTAGTATACTTAAAGTATGATGTAAAGTTCACTTAAAGAAAACTTACAAGTATACATAACTAGTAGTTTACTGAGACTATACTTCAAAGTGTACTAAAAATGCAAGTATTTATTTAGTAAACTATCAGTATACCTATAAGTTCACTTTTAGTATCGTACAAACTAAAAACATAGAGGTAAACTAGTTGTGTACTCAAAGTTTACAACTGTTATACTTAAAGTATACGTAAAAGTATACTTTTATATACTAGAAAGTGGGCCAATTTAGTCGCAAGGAGTATTGAAATAGTACGCTCACAAGTATACTACTAGTACACTGATATTTGTATACTTACTACATAAAGTATACTTAAAATATACTTGAACTTTACTTAAGTATACTTAATAAAATAAACTTGAAGTATACTTCTTTTTGGTAAGGGCACATAATGAAAACTTTAACATCAAAGAAACTGCTAGCTTGTTAAAGATAAATGATCTTGGGTATCATTGTAGATAAACACAGAAAGCTAAAATCATTGACTGGAAGTGGCTAGAAAAGTTTTGTTTGCTAACAGAATGGCAAAGCACATGTTGATAATCCAGCTGCGCAGTTTGACAAAGCTGGTAATAAAACTTTCAGGCTTTAAATATTACCTAGCTTTAGCTTCAGAGCAAACTCTAGGTATTCGTCCTCTGTTGTGTCTTTCCCATCGATGTTTAGCTGCAGAGTGAAGTCCCTCACGGCCCAGATGAAACTGGGGAAGAACTTGACAAACTCTGCATCATCTACAGCTTCATCAGGTGACTTGATCTTGATGTACTCTGTTAGCTCAGTGACGTATCTGTTTAGTGGGAGTTAAAGGACTGTTGAACATTCACTGCAACACATAAAAGCAATCATGTAAACTGAGAAGAGCTGTACCAGAGCAATTCTAGCTAATGGCTAATTTCCAAAATGGACAAAAGACATCTATAATTTGGAGGTTGCTTTACATGGAGTCTTTCTAATTTACACAGTACTAACCTATTTACCTAAATACTCTGCAATCTCTCATATTAAACAAACTTCAAACTCAAAATGAAATATAAGTTCTGATCAGAAGGATACTGCAGTTCCTCTATAGCCCTGTTGTCAATAGTTCCTCGACTGTTCAGGACTAGAGTGCTGCTCAGAAGGACAGCCAGAGAGAAGATCCTGGTGTCATGCTTTGAGTCGCCCTGAGACAGACAGGATAAGACGACATGAGACCACAACCCATAACAGACACACAGTTCCTGATATTGAATGATCAGTGATTGCGAGATTGGTGTACACTGTACAGTGTGATATTTGTTTGGTTTGGGTCGGTCACTACAAAAAGTAAACAAGCATACAGAACTTTGGCCACTAGGCCTGGACAACTGACCAACCATCAGACAGGAAGACATATAGATAATATATGATAGAACTACTTTAGTTTGTCACCTTGTCCACGTCCCCGAGTCCCTCGGTGTCCAGCAGCACCAGAGTGGTTTCTGCTTTAGTGGGGTGAGGCACGCACCACATCCAGATGCCCTTCGTCTTGGACTCGATTGTGCTGCCCAGTGCAAACCCTGATAACCACACACCAGAAACCCCACAATGACTTGCATGCATTCATTTGAAGGGCACGAGCGTTTGGATGGCATCAGTGCTGCTGACCTGTTTGCTTCCCTGCCAGTCGATTCATCAGATAGGACTTCCCGGTGCGGTAGAGACCCACCACAGCCACCACCACCACGGGCTGCTGGATCTGCTCCAGAACCTGCAACGCTGACCCCTGCACACACAGCTTCCCATCGGACGCCGTGTCAATCAAGCACACTGGTTTGTCCATGACCACTGGAGACCCAAACACATTTGACTTCCTTTAATCAACCGCACTGAGAAATACTCCAATAATCCTGTTTTGCAAGCAAAATGACCACTTTCGAAGAGTTGCAAGAATTGGTCTTATTGGAAGACTTTAAAACATTTGCGCCGGTATACGAAGCGTCAGAGAAAGGCAGCACATCCTCCAAAATGAAGGACTGGGCTGATCCCGTATCTCTCAAAATCTGCACGCACTCAACATTAGGACTGCCAGCTAAAGATACATAGCCTGGCCGAAGAAACGGTCCAAAAGACGAGGTATCAGTGGCACACAAATCAGGAGCAGATTGTATTAATGCTACATGCTTTGGTTTTTCAGTTGTTTTTTTGTCCTTCCAAGCTCGACAATCAGTGATCAAATGGCCAGGATCAAGACAATAAAAGCAAACTCTCTTTTCACCTGTATTTCTTGAATAGGTTTTAGCTCTGCCACCAATTTTATGGCCATTACTGCGATGTGCATCTTGAGCTACAGACACTGCAGATAAAATGGTTTTTGTTTGACGTCCAGAATAAAAAACCGTCCGATGGGTAAGCTTGAATTAATCTGCAAGTACTGCTGCATCCGAGAGTTGTCACTTTTTGTTCGTTTAAATTAACTACAACACTTTCCGGCACGCATGTTTTAAAGTCTTCCATTAAGACCACTTCTTGCAACTCTTCGAAAGTGGTAATTTTGCTTGCAAAACACCACTTCTCAAAGAGGGTCTTTTTTCCCCTAGCAAATTCGACGCAAGTTTGTTTGGCTTGCTTTGAACATGCTCTAAATTTCTGCCGATATGCCTCAGGCACCAATTCGTATGCTCTCAAAACGGCTGCTTTTACAGTGTCATATTCCAAAGACGCCTCAATTGGCAAAGCCGCACACACCTCTTGTGCTTTGGGGTGTTACGTCCTGTGACGTAATTTGTAGAGCCCGACCGATATATAGTTTTGCCGATATTATCGGCCGATACGAGCCTGTCGCCGATATATCGGTATTGGCGAATATGCTGTAATATTTTTTTACAGAACATATAACGCAGATAAAATGCTTGAAATGGTGTAATTACTTAGTTTGTCCAGCAGAGCACGCTCCATTGTTTGCTACTGGCGACCTGGATGAAACGCTTTAAAGCTTAAGTCTATGGAAAACCATTGAAACTTTGAACGGCCGAATCCGCACCAAATTCGGGGGATCCCTTCAGCTCGAGGAACCCTCTCGAACGCGAATCGAGTGTACGTATAGAGGCCCGCTTTCGAATGAGACCACCCCCGCATCAATAGCCCCCGGGGTTCGGGAGTTACGGGTGGTGAACGCGAATCGAGTGTACGTCTCGAGGCCCTCTTTCGAATGAGACCACCTCCGCGTGGATAGCCCCCGGGGTTCGGGAGTTACGGGTGGTTAAATTCGCGGTCCGGCTCCGACCGAAGTGATCCCGTGGGGCTACCGACGCGCGGAGGGTGGCGTTCGAGAGGGCTCCTCGAGCTGAAGGGATCCCCCGAATTTAGTGGAGATCCGACGGTGCGTTCGTGAGATAGTGACACCAGCCAACACTTTCCCTTCACTGAGGCCTCTTGTTCAGGCAGCAGCATTCAAGCGTGGTCTTATTCGACCGTAAGTGCGCTGCGAAGTGGACTTCACATGAAATTTTGTCATGATTCCAGTTCCAAGGGAACGTACACGTTACATTCGAACAATGATGACACGATCAAATAGCAACTAGCAAATAGTGAGAGGCGCGCACTCTTTATAATGCAGCACACATGTCAGCAGTGTGGAAGCATTTAAACTGTCGGAGAAAGACACAAAAATCATTACAAGCACCGACGGCGAGAGACTGTTTAGTACTGCATCACATGTCTTCAATGAGTCTGTAATATTTTCTAATGTTTTAAAAGAAGTCTCTTCTCAGCAAGGCTGCTTTTAATTGTACAGTAAAAAAATAAAAATAAAAAAAACATGCCTGTTTCAAGAAGGGGGTCTGATGGCCAAAAATGATTATCTTACTAACTTATTAATTTTAAGTTAAATTGTGCTTTGTTAATTTAATTGAATTAAAGTTGAATAAACTTCAACTTTACTGTTCAGTGCACTGATGTCAGACTCATTTTGGATAATAAAGTTTATTGTTAAATGCCCTGCCTCCATCATTACGTATCTCTGTCACGTCATTATTTTAAAGTGTTTGGTCACCACATTTGAGTGATCATTGCAAAAAATGTGTTTTTATATATATTCTGTTTATGTATATACTGTATTCTATATATAGTACCAGTCAAATGTTTGGACACACGAATGGGAAAGTGTCCAAACTTTTGACTACACAAAGAATATCAGCCGATATATCGATATCGGCCTTTTTTTACCCCATAATATCGGTATCGGCCCCAAAAAAGCCATATCGGTCGGGCTCTAGTAATTTGTATTGTTCTGCGGTCAGTCAAGAGTTTGTGTATCTTTTGTTTTCTTTTCTCTCCTGTGCTGCTGCTCTAATAGGAGCTGATTACTGGCACCTGATACTCGTTTGCTGATGACCAACTAACTCCTCATTCATTGGCTCCTCCAGAGAGGAAACCAGCTATAAAACCACAAAGAAAGCACAGTTGAGAGAGAGAGGAAAGGAGAGAGTTTGAGCCGTCTCTCTCTCACCACATGGACCTTCTCTGCAGCCCCAGACAAGTGTTGCTAGTTGTTGTTTTTGGTGTTGGCTGACTGATACTTAACGTCAAATCTGTGCTAGAGTTTCAGTTAGTGTACTGTTGCTGTGCTCCCACCTAGACCGTTAAACCCAATTGTCAATATTGCTGACTTTTTTGAGTCTACTCCCCTAGATTAATTATAAAACGGGAACCTAACAATTAGACAGTACAGTAACTCCCCACACGAGCAGCCTTTCCTCTTTCTGTTCGGAGAACTTTGAGTAAAATATTGCTTTAACACACTTTCACAACAAACTGCACAAGCAGGCTGAATAAGACACATAGAAATGCTGTCAGACTTGTTTGTGACCAGCTAGTCTTTAACCACTGGATTTAGTTGATGCTGGTTTCTACTAGAGAGGTAAAATACAAGTTAATCATGTCACATAAACAAAGTCCTTTGTGCTCTAACAAAACATGGCCAGAACATCTATCAAGACAAGCCATGTTGTAGAGTTCACTAACATACATAGCTACAGTCTATAACCAGACTGGGTTTAGTCCGTTGAAGATCTAACAAAACATGTCCAGAACATCTGTCAAGACAAGTCAGGCTGTAGAGTTCACTAAAAAACACACACACTCATAGAGTGCTAAAATTAAATCACCAACATGAAATCTCAACGGCACACGGTCACACATGATCAACTGCAGGAGCAAAAACAAACATGAAGAATCTGCTGCAGTGCTGATGCTGAGTGTGAAACACTGGACATTGTATTGTGTGCAGTTATAAGAGCAGCACAAGTGTTATAATGATCTGAATGAAGGAGCGTCTCTTACCGGTTTGCTTTAGTTCACTCCAGTCTAACTTCAGTCTGAGTTGTGTTCATGTTGCAGCTTCCTGATATTCTACCCATGTTTCTTAGACACACCTTCAGCTCCAGACTCTGGATGCTGATTGGTCTAGAGTGAGTTAGGGGATGTTCCTGGTCTCGTGACATTTTCAGTTTCACTCTTAGTTTCACTTTCAAAATCAGCAACTTCAAACAGGAAAACACGTGACAGCAGATACAAGAAGCTTGGATTGTTTCCAGAATGTGCAGCCACATAAAAAGATAAGATGCTTTTCTTTTTTGTGGTACTATATCACACAGACTGGAATGCCATCTTGTATATCTGAGCTATGAACAACAAAAGCTGACCAGTAATATTCCAGAAATAAGAAGAGTATCATTTTCTGTCTGTTTAACCTGTGATAAACCTTGTTTCTGATGAAACTGAATGGAAATTCCCAAGAGCTTTCCCCTCCAGTGTATCAGACACTATGAAAAGAAGTGGGACACTGTAATGTGTACGCATGACTCCATCAGTACTGTATGACACTAACAACACAAGAGTCCGGGCGGGGCTAAGGTAAGACGGCCGTGTCAATCAACTACCGTGGGAGGGGCGTGTGCAGAACTACGTCATTCTGACAGGAATCTCAGAACAGCCTGATTTGAGAAAGGGGATTTTTAAAAAACACTGGGTGGAATTTGCATCCGATGACCCCTTTAAGACTTCACTACAGACTTGACTTGTGTGACTTCACGATCAAATGACTTCAGGTTGATAGGGAACAAGGGCACATCTGGCTGCCACACTTCTCACCATTTTTCTTGTTATATTTAATGTTTATTGATTTATTTTAAACGCTTTGCATTGTGCAAAATTATCACAAATTATAACTGATGCTTTGTTTTCTATTAGTATGTCTCCTCGTTTACAGTTGGATCGATGATGTGAACATGAGTTCCATCAGTAGCTCCAACAACTCCAGGAGAGCCCACAATCCTCATAAAAGTGGCTTGTTTTTGGAGCATGGTTTGGCGGTCAGTTGGAAAGTCAATAAACTGCCATATAGTAGTGGTCAAAAGTGATGTCCAGCCTAGGATATTTGACCTTCACCTTTCAGTTCGCTATAATACACAGTTTAATCTTGATTTTCAATGTTTATTACTGTGTGTTTATTGGCGTGATGGTTTGGTCATAATAGTTCAACTTCGTCAGTGGGTGAAATACATGAACAAATTGAACAAAATCTTAAATTTGTTCTTAAACAAGCCTTTCAAAAGAATTTGGTTTAACTGTTTAAGCTGTATAAGTATGGAGTTGCTTTGCTTTTTTCTGAACTGGTGTAATAAATATTAATATTTTATTATCTGCTGCCTGTGTTGTTACCGTTGTCATATTGTGTGTGGTTTTAATTTAAAAACCATTTTGGTTTCATTTAACCCAGCAGTAGGCCTATAGTAAATTTCAAACAATATGTAAGCATATTGCATAGTTGCTTAGAGTCAGTTGTTTTATTTGTGATAATAATGCAATGAAACATGCCAAATAGTGCAGTCATAATTTTTGGCCATGCTGTTATACAAATAAATTACGAACACATGCAAAAACAAGAGTACCAATGAAATGTTAATAACTTATGTTGTAGCCAATGTTGCCGATTTAGTGATTTTGTTAGTGACTTCCTCACCCCTTTAGAGACTTTTTTTTCAGAAGCCAAGCAACAAAATCAGTTTCTTGGGCAAACTTTATCTACATTCCCAGACTCTCCCATGACGTCATAAAGGCGAGTTCACTGATCTACAGTATATAAATATAAATATAGATCAGTGAACTCACCTTTATGACGTCATCTAGCAACATTAAGTGACCAGTTTTAGCTTTTCAATTGAAAGCAGTTGGCAACACTGGTCAGTGTTTTTTTGTCCTTTGTATTTTGATGGTTTAAGTGAAATTTTGGCCACTGTTGTGTCTGCGTACTGTCATCACCGGTGCATTGCTGCATTTTTCCACATTTCCAGCCCCAAAAATTTTTATTACATTTCTGCATTTACAGCATTGACTTGTTGAGTGGAAGAGGTTATTACATTTCTTACTTTGTCAAGATCAAAAAGTTTTTTTTGTTTTTTTTTGTAACTGACAATCAAGTTTGTATTGTTTTATCATCTCCATATCATCATATAACTCCAATATATCATATCTTTGCTGGAAAGTGTGCGTCTGCTCCTCTTTGCTGCCGTCTTGTTACTCCTAACTAGATTAGGAGACCTCTCCAGCTCTCTTAAATAATTTAGGAGCCGAGACCTAGTTTTAACACTTCGGAACCTTTATGAATCACTCGTATTCTTAAATCTAGGATTAAGAGTAAAATTACATCATTCTTAGAATGTTGACACAAATTTGACTCCGAGCGGCTTTATACACACGGCCCCTGGTGTCCATGTGTGTTCATCTTGCTTGTGTGATTATTCACTGCATGCGTACTAGGGCTGTCGAAATGGCTGAAAAACTAACTTCGAATTTTGTACTTAAATATTATCAAAATTCTAATTTAAAATGCATAATTTCAGTTAGGGTGAAGAAAAGCTTTTGGCTTCTTCTCTCCTGAGGCCACAAGAGGGCGCATCATTCAAAACGTAAGATAACACGACTATCTGCGGGAAAAAAAGTGCATAATGCTTAAAATAATGTTTATAAACCAATTATAATTAAGTTGCTTAAACAACTATAAACAAAACAGCATCATGTATGTATGCATAGTTTAAGTACATTTTTCATTTAAAAACATGAGATGCAGAGGGATGGGGGAAAACGCGCCATAAAGTCTCGATATATGTTTTTTTCAAAGTTAAACTTGCATTAATTTTACATGTCTTTCTAAACGTGCAGCTCTTTTGTGCGAGACGCGAGTGCAACGCTGATAGACGTCCCTCTAGAAAATGCGTGAAATATGCGTTCTGTGTGAACGGCTTGGTTTCGGTTTTGATGTTAACAAGATCTTCTCCGCATTGATGTTCTCTTTTTCCGCAATATTTTGAATGAACAACGCAGCAGCGCCATCTATTGGCTTCAGCTGGATACGCTAACAAAAACATTAAAATGCAACGACACTTATATCGTCATCGCATCTCGTGCGCCGCTGATAAGGCTGCCTTCTTAACACGCACCTAAAATTCGAAAGCAACGCTTTTGCATTCGAATGTGGATTTTTAGTTTAAACTCGACGAATATTCAAAATTAGATTTTTTTTTTTACAGCCCTAATGTGTACACACAAATCTGTGCATGTGAAATCTGTGTATGAATATATTTTCACCAACAAATCACGATTCACCAAAAACTTTAGTACAACTTCTAAATTCCCACAAAAAAGAAAAAGAAAATGTAGGAACAAATGAAACCTCATGTTTAATTCTGTAAGATTAAATCTGGTGAGAGTGTGTCTAACAAATCTGTTTTAGCTTAAATTTATATTATTTACATTTAAATAACACTGATAATTAGGTTATATAAGTAATATATAGTTATGATTAGATTTATATTTCATCTTGAATATATGTTTGATCACACAGTAAGAACAGCCTGTAATCTGGCTCTGAATGAAAGCTGTTCGTTGTGACTGAGCTGGGTTTGAGAAGGCCAGAGAGGATTGTTTTAGGCCTGGAAATCACAGTTTTCGTTTAATATTTATGTTTTATTGAAGAGCAGAGAGGACTTTAGGAGACACAGGCGGCCGAAACAGTCGAAAGAATCGCTCGAAAGATTGGGGTGCGGTTGGCGACAGCTGGATTGTGACTGGAGCGCTGATGGTAGGAAGTGGTGTAGATTCCGGAAGCGATCCGGAAATGGAGGATGCGGATGCGGATAGTGGAGGCAATGCAAGTAATGAATGGAAAGTGGTAGAAACTCGAAAAAGAAAGAAAAGTTGGGGACAAATCTCAGAAACGGACAGTGAAAAGGGAAATCAACAGGCAAGAAGGAGGAAAGAGGAATATAAGGTATTGCTGAAGTTCGCTAATGAATCTGTTAATGTTATTAACCCTTTGAAACTAACAAAAACACTTAAAGAAATTTTAGGGACGATTGAAAGTATCAAGACATTGAGAGATGGCAAATTGATGTTGTTCTGCAGAGACACTAGACAAAGATTATGAATATACTTAAGATTCACAAATACCAAAACAACGTGTCTACACCAGACGCGAGCGGCGCGATTTGACAAAAGCTAATAGAGCCCAGTGATGTTCTCTGTTGTGGATGCGACACGACACGACAAATCCATTACCGTAAACTGATGCCCGTTCTATTTCTGACGAACTCCAGTGCTCTGACACAAAGGACCATTTAAAATATTCATAGGAGAATCGTGAAAAAATAGTTTCTTCAAAAATATTAAGCAGCACAAATGTTTACAACATTGATAATAATCAGAAATGGTTACTGAGCAGCACTGGGAACCACTGGCCAACTCAAACACACAATATTTAATTTTAATTTAATTCATACAGGCCTACCTCATGTTGCACTTTTCAGGTCTATGTCCAATCCTTCACTTTTTTTAGTTATATAAGGTTCAAATATTTTGCATATAATTTTTTTTTTCTCATATCGCAATATAATATCGATATCGCCTGGACAGTGTAAAATATTGTGATATGAATTTTAGCTCACATCGCCCACCCCTAGTTTAATGGTGTTTGCTACAAAAATGGAAAAACGATGTGCCTGGGCTACTTGTAACACTGATTCCAGGTCTCCTGAGAGGATGGGCAATAGAATTTATTTTATTACATTTCTAAAACCCAAACAAAACAGAGCAAAATGTCTCAAAGCATTCAACCACAATCCCAAAGAAGACAAAAACTTTCATTTTCTGGTTGTTTTACAATTTTCAGCTGCTCAAGCAGAACGTTAATGTCATCTTGCGTTACAGCAAGGTATCTCTGGCTAAAACTAGCTAACATTAAAGTTAATGAGTTCATGCTAAGGTAAAAACCTAAATAGTGGACCATTCTCACATCATGTACAGTGTAGGTCAAAAACACACAAACAAAAGTCTACATTTCAGTGCCTCTCCATAGTAAACTGGTTAAATGTACATCAATTTAATCGTACCCTGCGATACATGAGCAGTGCTGATCCTGCATGTTGTCATCCGCGATCGTGACGACTGTAATATGAGACTTCTCCCGCTTGCATTGTTTATAAACCCTCGCTTTGAGTTACCCACCGTATTTAGTTTAAAATATTTTATATATCCCTCCATGGAATATTTAATTCCTACTTGAATGGTGGTCCTTCTGTGTCCAAAATTGTTCAAAAACATCGTGGGACAAGGTTTTCACACTGATAGCCGTCATTGTAAAATAGTGAGCAGCTCAGTTTGTTCGTCCGAGGGAGCAACAATAACTAAGGGGGCGGGGCTTACCGATAGGTCAATTGTGAATGAGTGTGGACACATGCCCTATTTACGAATGATTGGAATTCATTAACATATGCATGTTTAACTATCAAATCAGAAATTTACGAAGCGTTTGTGAATCCGGAAGAGAGTTTTCGGGAATGTCTGCTTTACATGCAAATTACTCAGAATTTACTCCTATATTTATGAATGTTTCATGAATGAGGCCCATTGTGTGCACTCAGTGGTACAGGACAATGAAACTTTAATATATCAGATAGCAAATAAGGAACAATAAGTAGAAAATAGATAAATAAAGAAACAAACAATATGGACAGTATAGACATTCTAAACCCTAAACAATAAAGGACAGTAACAGTAGTGCAGCATCAGTATAGTGTTTAAAGTAAGACTTGTAATATTGCACGTAGAAAATGTATATAAAATGTAAACAATGTATACATAGTAGGCAGTATAAGTAATACAGAAGCAGTCGAGCAGCAGAAAAGGACAGCAGTCTGTAAGTGTTTTGTATCTTTTCTCATTAGATTTTACAGCGTTTGTCGTTGCTAGGACACATTGTTTACTGTGGTAAACGCGTACTCGAGTCGCGTTTGTTCTCGCGCGTATTGCGTGGCTTTGCAGTTTTGGTGTAATAAGGCGTGGCCAGCTGCATTCAATTGCAGGTGAATTACTGAAATAAATGAACTTTTCCACGACATTCTAATTTATTGAGATGCACCTGTATATATTTGCTTAGTACACCGCGGCAGCCCTCGTGTGAAGTGTAAAGACCATCGACTCTACCTGCGCGACTCCACGGAGCAAGTACACCGACAAGGCACCTGAGTATTGTTTTATTTTTCCCCTTTCTTTACTTTTTGTATAACTTTTTATCATCTACTTCTAATTGTACTCAATATGTGCTTTCAAATCTACTATTACTACTAACACTCGTAAATCACGCACTGTACGTTGGAGGCAGCGCAATCCTAATAATCTGCATACTGTCCCTATGTCCTCTACTACTTTACTCTCTATTCCAGTTGGTCTCTGGAACTGCCAGTCTGCTGTAAACAAAGTAGACTTTCTTTCATCTATTGCTACTCATTCAAGTGTCAACCTCATGGCCCTAACTGAGACTTGGATCAAACCTGAGGACACTGCCACTCCTGCAGCCCTCTACACTAATTTCACCTTTTCCCACACCCCTCGCGCGATTGGGAGGGACGGGTCTACTTATTTCAAAAGAATGGAAATTTGATAGTCTACCATCTCTTACCGGCAACAGTTCATTTGAATCACACGCAATTACTATTACCCACCCTGTTACAATCCATTTTGTAGTTATTTATCGTCCCCCAGGTCAACTGGGTAACTTCTTAAATGAGTTGGATGTGTTACTCTCAAACTTCCCTGAGGACGGTGCTCCTTTGGTACTACTTGGTGACTTACACATCCACCTAGATAAAGCACAGGCTGCTGACTTCAACACTCTGCTTGCCTCATTTGACCTCAAGTGCGTGTCTACTACAGCTACTCACAAATCGGGTAACCAATTGGACCTTATCTACACATGCTACTGCTCAACTGCTCACTTTAGTTACACCGTTGCACACCTCAGACCACTTCCTCATCACTACTGACATTCTTTGCTCCACTCTAACATCTTTCTTAGACAACTTTTGCTCCCTTTCATCCAGACCAGCATGCACCACCTCCTCTGCCCCCTGGCTGCCTGATGTTCTCCGGGAACATCGCTCTAGACTCAGGGCTGCAGAGAGGAAGTGGCGCAAATCAAAAACTCTACTGACCTTAGTGTATATCAGTCACTTCTCTCCTCCTTTTCTGCAATTGTCTCCACTGTTAAAACAACATACTACCACAACAAAATTAACAACTGTTCTGACTCTCGCATGCTTTTCAAAACCTTTTCTTCTCTTCTTTGTCCTCCTCCACCCCCTCATTCATCAACTCGTACTGCTGATGACTTTGCAACATTCTTCATAAATAAAACAAGAACCATCAGTGACCAATTCTCCACACCACAAACTGACATAAACTTCATAACCACAAATACTCATTCTCTCTCCTCATTCTCTCCACTCTCTGAGGCAGACGTTTCTAAACTTATCCTTTCCAATCATCCTACTACCTGCCCGCTTGATCCTATCCCCACTCACCTCCTTCGGGCCATTTCTTCTTCAGTTATACCCCCGCTCACTCACATTATCAACACCTCTGTTCACTCTGGTACATTTCCCACAGCATTCAAGCGGGCTCGGGTAACCCCATTGCTTAAGAAACCCCCTCTAAATCCAGCACTTTTAGAAAACTACAGACTGGTATCCCTTCTTCCGTTCATTGCAAAGACACTTGAGCGAGTTTTGTTCATCCAACTTTCTCTGTTTCTTGCACAGAACAACCTCATGGACAGCAACCAATCTGGCTTCAAAAGCGGCCACTCAGCCGATACTGCACTGCTCTCGGTTACTGAAGCCCTGAGACTGGCAAGAGCGGCTTCCAAATCCTCAGTACTCACCTTGCTGGATCTGTCTGCTGCTTTTGACACTGTTAACCACCAGATCCTCCTGTCCTGTCTCATCCTCATGAAGATGGGCATTTCAGGAACCGCACTCCAGTGGTTTAAGTCTTGCCTCTCCGGTAGGTCCTTCAGGATGTCTTGGAGGGGTGAGGTTTCTAAGTCACAGCTTCTTGCTACTGGGGTTCCTCAAGGCTCAGTGCTTGGACCACTTCTCTTCTCCATCTACATGCCATCTTTAGGATCTGTCATTAAGAAGAATGGCTTCTCCTATCATTGCTATGCTGATGACACTCAACTCTACTTCTCATTCAAACCAGATGATCCGACAGTAGCTGTTCACATTGCAGCCTGTCTGACAGACATTTCTGGCTGGATGAATGTTCATCACTTTCAACTCAACCTTGCTAAGACAGAACTGCTCGTGGTCTCAGCCAACCCTGCACTTCATCACAACCTCTCTATACAGATAGGTTCGTCAACCATAACTCCTTCCAGGACAGCCAGGAACCTTGGAGTTGTGATGGATGATCTGTTAAGCTTCACAGACCATATTGCTACAACGGCCCGGTCTTGCAGGTTTGTCTTATACAACATTAGGAAGATTAGACCCTTCCTAACAGAACAGACCACACAACTCCTTGTCCAAGCTCTTGTTCTCTTCAGACTGGACTATTGTAATGCTCTCTTGGCGGGCCTTCCTGCATGTACTATCAAGCCTCTGCAACTGATCCAGAAAGCAGCAGCCAGAGTGGTCTTCAACAAGCCGAAGAAAGCTCATGTCACACCTCTCTTCATCAGCTTGTACTGGCTGCCAATAGCTGTTCACATCAAATTCAAGGTACTGATGCTTGCCTACAAGACCCACTGGTGCTGCACCAATATACCTAAACTCGCTAGTTCAGACCTACGCGCCCTCCAGAAGCTTGCGTTCTGCAAATGAACGATGCCTCATGGTGCCATCCCAAAGTGGCACAAAATCACTCTCACTGACCTTTTCCTGGACTGTCCCCAGCTGGTGGAACAACCTGCCTATCTCAATCCGAGCAGTCTTTAGCCATTTTCAAAAAACATCTAAAGACACATCTTTTTCGCCATCACCTGACCAATTAATACTTGCACTTACCAATTCTGTTCTATTCCTTTCCACACACTCCTGGTGTCAGAGTTGCTGAAGTGGTCTTCAATACGTCGTCTATAGCTGGCTTGTGCTTTTTTTATGCCCTTCTTAAGATTGTGTTTAGCTACATGGTATGCTTTGGGGTAACCACATTTAAAGGCATTTTTGCGTGTTCTCAGAAGGTATTTCCCCTCTTTGTTCATCCATTGTTTCTGATTAGCATACCTCTTTATTGTCTTCTCCACCGTAACATTTTCTACATGGCTGTTAATGCAGAAGAGTGTCTGTGTATTCCTCCAGGTCTGGCACATTTTCATGGGTTGCACTATCTGGGAGTTAGCATACCTCTTTATTGTCTTCTCCACCGTAACATTTCCTACATGGCTGTTAATGCAGAAGAGTGTCTGTGTATTCCTCCAGGTCTGGCACATTTTCATGGGTTGCACTATCTGGGAATTGTTCGCAGATGCAGCAATCAAAACAGTCCTGAAGCTGTGCTATGGCATCCTCTGGCCAAATCTTGACCGTTTGAATGATGGGTCTTGACTTGCGAATGAGAGGTCTGTATGCTAGGGTCAGAAACAGTGAGAGGTGATCAGACTGACCAAGAGGATGGCTGGGGAAGGCTCTGTGTGAGTCCTTGATGTTGGTGTACACATGGTCCAAAATATTGGAACATCTGGTGGAACATTTCACATGCGGATATAATTTATGGAGCACTGTTCGTAGATCAGCTTTGTTGAAGGCTCCGTCTGGGGGAGCATCCTGCCGTTTGCAGATAGCTGAGTGTAGCTGTGTTAGCGCTAGTTTGACATAGCTTGTTGTGGAATATAAACTGCTACAAAGACAACGGAGAACACCCGCGGTATATAAAACGGTCTACATCTCAGCATGAGATACTCTAGATCCAGTTGAACAGTAGCTCTCGGCTGCAGTGTGGTTGGTACACCAGTCTTTGTTGATATAAACACAAAGACCCCCTACCCTTCTCTTACTGGAGTCTTGAGTGCAGTCTGCTCAGTATAGCGTGCGGCTAGTTAGCTCCCTGGCTTTATCGGGGATTTCCCCACTCAGCTACGTTTCCATGAAAATCAGCGCACAACAATCCCTTCGGGTCCATTGCCACAGCCGAACTTTGTCCATTTTGTTGGTTAATGCTCAGACATTGGTTCAAGTAGTTTTCAGTTTTCACATCTTTTTGGCTACATTTACACTATTGCATTTTTGCATGACGGTAAATGATATTTATGTGATTTGTATGAGATTCTGCCTATTTTCTTAACAATACAGAGTGTTTATGTGAGAAATGCTAAGCAGATTATTAGCTTGACATAAAAGGCTACAAATAACATATTTCAGCAACATTATATGGCCAAAACACATATTAGAGCGCAGTCTGAAGTTATTACAAACACTAGATGGTGGTTTTCGCTCGTGTGGCGTAGACAGAGATCTTTTTCTGAAGCACAGCAGAAATGCCAGTATGGACAAGGATAGTTTGCTTTTAAAAATGCCATTTTAACACTAGTGTAAATGTAGCCTACATCTATGGGGGTCAGATGCTCACACACTAGAGCCTCACGTGTGAGCCGTCTCTGGGCATCGGCGTAAACTAGTAGATGCGCAGACCAATCTGTGTATGACAGCAAAGTACCCCGAACAGATGCTCCGCAAGCTTTCGAATCACTCTCGTGGTACATTGATGTCAAACGCCAATCATCCTGCTTACCTCTGTGTCAGGTCAAACACACCTAATGCTTTTTTTCTTGCTTAACCCCTTAGGTATCAAAATTCAGTACCGAATGACAAGACATTTTTCAATACTCTATGGTATGGAGGCAATGCGGTCGGTGCCTAAAAAGTATTGAATTCGATACCCAGCCCCACTTATAAGGGGTTTGCTAACTAACTTAGGTGTGTCCTAAAGAAAGTGCCAAATTAAAAATATTGAGAGGTTCTGAGATTACATGTATAACACCCCTTACAGTAGTTTAGTACTAATAAGAGCTATTAGGATAGCTGCTGATATAGACAGCTAATTCCTCACTCTGCTCCAAAAATATCATCAAACTTCACACCGGGCTTCTATTTCTGTGTTTTATTTCAAGTCATATCTTTAAAATGTTGCTTTTGCGTAACTCCTTACCTTGACTTTCCTTTCTCTGTCTTTCTCCATCATTATTTGATGAGAGCTGTTACGCGAGGAAATGGGGTTATGCCATTATACTGCAAGTGACAAAAATCTCTCTGAAAGCTCTTCAGTGTTGCCAAAAATAACTGTTTTTGAGCCAGGACACAAACTGGAATCTACACACGCACACACACACACTCACAGAAGTGCTTGTTACTGAACATCAAGAGTGTGAACATATGCTCGTGAAAAAGGAAAGCAAGGACTATTGTTCAGACACAGGTAGCGGGAAGCTGCGTCAGTGGAGTTGCCTTTATTTCTCTCTCTGAACTGACTCTTCTGTATAGAACAACCACAGAGACTGGGAACGAGGGGGGGAACGTTAGGACACAACCCATCGTCAGCTGGGTTGTTTGAAGCCTCTCGGCCATGGGACCTCTTGTGAATTAAACTCTGTAGGGTTTCGTCTCTGATCCACAGATGGGGGGTGGATTAAGGACTGAACCTGCTCTCCGAATCACTGATGGATGTTGTAGGTGGACGTGCTGTATCACCTGTGTTATTGTGGCTAGAAGAATTTTTTTGCTACCGCTCCAGCCATTCTTCGAGTCCGACCTCTGTACATATACGAACCACACGAAAGCAAAAGCAAGTCTTACTCTACTCGTCTCCTGTACATAGAAGAACAAAAGCAACAAAAAAAGTATCAAATACTATGAAAAAACAGTTCTTGTACTGCAACAGAAATCGAAAATAAAGATGTTTTGAAGTTTGTGACCTAAACACCATGCCAGTCTCTCCCTCTCTCTTTCTTTCGCTCTCTCCGGCCCTCATTCAGTCCTGCCCTGGAGCACCGCAGTGCCAGGAAATCTAATTGTCTGCCAAGAGACAGCGAGAGAGAGACAGAGAGACAGAAAGAGAAGGATTTTACATACAAATGAGATAAATCCTGGCACAATTTTTATGTAATATAACCCATTACATTGTTGGTAATGTTTGACCTTCAACATTCCCAGACAGGAAGCGCTTGACGTGGATGGAAGGGGAATACACTGTGCCTCAGGGGCGCACTGGTGAATCGTGGGTTGATTGACAGCAGCCGTGATGTAGTGTTGGTTATATTTTATCTGGAAGATGTAATAGATATCAGATGACTAGATGAATAGAATATATTTAGGTGAGAAAAAAAATTGGGGGGCACATTCGGAAAAGTTTCAGTCGCAAACCCTAGATTGTATTTGACTGTTTTACATGCCAATATCAGCTGTTGTTTCTGAAACTGGTGTGACAGTTGATTTACAATTTGTATGTGTATGTCTGAACGTGAACATTTGGATGCCTGCGAACCAGAGTACGTATGTGTGCGAGTGTGTATCTCAGAGGCTATTTTTACTGGGTTAGATGGACCCGCATTAGAAGAACAGGAAGCAGAGTAAATCTATATCTATATTAGAGCTCAGTATAAGCTTCCATCTAAAAGACTTTGTTAACGGTATTTTAAATGTAGTTTTTTTGCCAGTCAGGTACAATGGAAACTGAGGTTTAGAACAAAAAACAAAACAAAACAGGTTTAGCATTCATTGAGCGACAGGAACATCTGACCAATGAGACACAGCCTCTGTGGTTTAGAATCCCCATATGCAAATGAGCTGCATAGCCTATTGAACAAAAGAGAGGTATTCATGAGTGCCCTGCCCCTCTGCTCAATATTTAAGTCTTTCATGTCTGATATTTTATTTATTAATATTTATTTGTCTGTTTTGATTATTTATGCACATATTCATTTCTTCAGTGTGGTTTTCATTCTGTGTACAGAGCATATGTAAGGATGACGAGAGTGTGCTATATTTCAAAAAGCATACTAGCATACTACTCTGGCTGCAGTATATACAATATATTCTTTGCACAGTATGCACATTTTCTCCCAAATTACCTAGTAAATTTTGCCAGAATGAGTGGTAAACAACATAAGCTGAATTCGGAACACTATTTCACTATTTTTTTTTTAAATACACTGTATACTATGCAGTAAGTAATAAGCTAGTATGCCATTCCAAACATAGCCATATAGAGAAAGAGAGAGAGCAGGGGTGAGTATCCATGATTAATGTCAGAGGAAGAGGTGATGTCAAAACTACACAAGTCTACAGCTGGTTAAGAGAAGGTCTGCTGCACCCACTGTCAAATGTGGAGAACATTGTGCATCCCGAATCAACATCCTATCATTCAATCCAAGCACCATCTGCACTCTCCCTTTCTCTATCTCTCACTCCTGTAAGTCTTCTAAGGGGACGTGTGTGCAATCCATTGCATGGTAACTTGTACTGATTGACACAGGGTCAGTATGTTCACCGGTGTGCTGTGGTTAGTACACCCGGTCCTATATTTAGCCCGAGGCATGTATGATCAGCTTTTCTTTAAAGCAATGACCTGAACATTTTTTTACTTGCTTTTCTTGCAAAAATGTTCCATGTTGATGAGTAGGACCAGCTTCAACTGGTCAGCAGGTTTGACCGTTTGAATGTATTGTCATACACCATTGTGAACTGGCTCTTAGAGCTTAGGATGCCCTCTAAGGAGATCTGCTCCTGACTCATGGCCCTCTGCCCACCTGGCACCACATCGCTGCTGTTTTACCCCCTTATACCCTTCTGCGCCGGCCCGCGGGAGAGGCTGTTTACCTCTCTCCCTCCATCCCTGGAGACGTCCAATGTGCGTCACGTTTTGTGCATCTCTCCTTTTTGTGCCCTTGCTCGTTTTTATTTCCCATCTACCCTTCTTCCACATTCCCCCTCCTATACCGTTCTTAGCTCACCGAAATGTTTCTACATGGCTTTCCTAGCTGAGCATTAATGTGGGAAGATTTGTAATGTTAGTCAAAGGCTTTGTTTACATGGGACTGAAGGGATAATATAGTACAGTGTTGAATATGGTTATAATGACAGTGATTATGCGCCGTAGTAAACTGCTAGACTAAAGCCTGCTCCGAGGGACTGCTACCACCTCCAAAATCCCCATACAACCCCTGATTATCATAATAATACTAAGAGCTATAATCTAGCGGAGTCAACCCACCATGCTCCCGCTCTCTGGGTTTCTCCCTTTGTCTTTCCCCCCTCTCGCTCTTTGAGAGCACTTGTGTTCGCTGTTCTTTAGATATGAAAGGAGTCACCCCGATCCGCTCTCCATATCGGCCTCGTTTTCATGTCTTCACATTCAAATGGAGAGGCAAAGAGTGCATGAGTAGACACCGGATGACTAGGCCCAGGCGGAATCTGCCAGCTTTTTTCCCCATTTTTATGCGGAAAGAGTTTAAATATGATAAAATGTGTTCGGTTGAGCTCCGAGTGCTACACTTTTATTGGTAGCTGAATGAAATTTTCCAAAATATGAAAAGAACCACTGCAAATCGCTTGACGAATGCAGATTTCTTTCCTATTTTGAATTTCCTTTTGACACAAGAAGTTCTGTCTGGATATATCCACCATTTTAATATAACCAATAGCCTTTAGTTTACATCAGTCATCCATGATGACAGATGGAATTAAAGGGAAGAGCATTCAAATTCTAGATCAGACTGCAGACTTGCTGCCTTCACATGCTATCATAAATTTCCTATTTCCCACTTATGAAGTTGTGATTACGAGCTTGTCGTATTCAAGTGCTTTAATTTCAGAAAGACTCAAATGTAGCATCCCATTTGTTGACAATCATATAAACATTCACCGCGCTATACATGCAGTTTGTTGACAATCCTGGAATTTTGGTCAAATACATATTTATGATAATTCCGATAGCACGTGAAGGCAGCACTAGTTTGCAGCGGTGTGTTCAAGCGCAGCTTTTTGGTTCAGATCAACAACACAGTCGGCTTTCAACACTGATAGTTCTTTGAAGTTGGCTTGATGTGTCCCGGCTTTAAAAGCTTTAATGTTGCTTTTCACATCTTTTGCTTTGTGGCTTCAAACTGTGGTTATCTTGTATTTGTCTTTTTTTGCTTTAGACCTGCTAGTGCTGAAAGAGGAGAATCAAGATCCGAATGAACTGGAACAGACAGATCAGTATGAGAAACACCATGATTTCATAACTGGTGAAAAAGCCACACAAACGGCATCTATACGTAAAAGAGCTCAGAAAACCAAATCTAATAGCTCTTTCACCTGCCATCATTGTGGAAGGAGTTTCAATGAAAAACGAAGATTTCAAATGCACGTGAGAGTTCACACTGGAGAGAGACCATTCCCCTGCCAACAGTGTGGAAAGAGCTTTGTTCACCAAGGAGCCTTTAAAAGGCACATGAGAACTCACTCGGGAGAGAAGCCTTACACCTGCCAGCAGTGTGGAAACTGTTTCACTCAAAAAGGATCTCTTAACAATCACATGAGAACTCACTCGGGAGAGAAGCCTTACACCTGCCAGCAGTGTGGAAACTGTTTCACTCAAAAAGGATCTCTTAACAATCACATGAGAACTCACTCGGGAGAGAAGCCATTCACCTGCCAGCAGTGTGGAAAGTGTTTCGCTCAAAAACCACACCTTCAAAGACACATGAGAACTCACTCGGGAGAGAAACCTTACACTTGCCGTCAGTGTGTAAAGAGTTTTACACAGAAAAGCACCCTTCATTCCCACATGAACATTCACACTGGAGAGAAGCCTTATACATGCAAACAGTGTGGAAAAAATTTCCCTGCAAAACAAAACCTTAAAATCCACATGAGAGTTCACACTCAAGAAAAGCCTTACACTTGCAAGTATTGTGGGGAGAGTTTCACACATGCATGCACCCGTAATTACCACATGAGAATTCACACTGGACAGAATGTGTTCAAATGTGATCGTTGCGGAAAGACCCTCACAACAGAATTTAGCCTCAAGTGTCACAAGATGATTCACACTGGAAAGAAACCCTTCAAATGTGATCAGTGTGGAAAGCGTTTCATATGTAAGGTAAGACTTAATTACCACATGAAGACTCATTCAGCAGAGAAATGCTGTAAATGTGCTCAGTGTGGAAAGCGTTTCATATGTATGGTAAGACTTAATTACCACATGAAGACTCATTCGGCAGAGAAATGCTGTAAATGTGCTCAGTGTGGAAAGCGTTTCATATGTATGGTAAGACTTAATTACCACATGAAGACTCATTCGGCAGAGAAATGCTGTAAATGTGCTCAGTGTGGAAAGCGTTTCATATGTATGGTAAGACTTAATTACCACATGAAGACTCATTCGGCAGAGAAATGCTGTAAATGTGCTCAGTGTGGAAAGCGTTTCATATGTATGGTAAGACTTAATTACCACATGAAGACTCATTCGGCAGAGAAATGCTGTAAATGTGCTCAGTGTGGAAAGCGTTTCAGTCATAAATGTAGCCTCAATATTCACATTAAAAAACAACACGCTCGAGAGAAGCCTGTGGGAAGAGCTTCTCATAAATAGAAGATCTTAAGATTATCATGACATATGTGTGGAATCATGTGAAGAAACCCACATGAGATTTAATTCAGGGGAGAACTATTTTGTACGAAGTGTTTCTCAGTCAAATGAAACCTGAAGACTCACACTCGAGAGAGACCTTTCACGTGTTTCTGTGTGTTCCTGAAACATCATTCAAGAAAATTCTGGAAATAAAGTCTGACTGTGACAAGAAGCAAATTTTAAAAATCCCCAGCATATTCACTCTGGAGGAAGGCTCATTAACTGTGATCAATGTAATGCATTTCTTTTGACATTAAACCTGATAGAAGTGGCCCTGCAATTTAAAATAGCGCCAAAAAATAGGTATCTGTTTGAAATTAAGACTGCGCTCACACCACAGCTGAATGTGTGTTGTAATTGATTATGGCACCTTCATAGCCATGTCTTTTATTTGTGTTGTTCACTTTTTTTTTTATACTTGTCATGGTCTCCTGTATCCACACCTGACTGTCTCCTTTGCTATAGTTTCAAATATTGTAGTAGACACTAATTTTGATTGTATGGAGACATTGTGCCGTTCAGTTTACTGGTAACTTGGAATCAAAATATTACGTTTCGGTCTTACTGCGAAATGCCACAATGTAACTACAAGGTTATAAATAAAATGGTGAACTGCATGAAGTATTGAACATTGCACTGAATTATTTGATGTATGTTTAGTGAGAGAATGCCCATGTAAACTTGTTTCCAGTCTAGTCTAGTCAAGTCAAGTCACCTTTATTTATATAGCGCTTTTAACAATACAGATTGTGTCAAAGCAACTGTACAGCATTAATTAGGAAAATAGTGTCAATAATGCAAAATGACAATAGTAAACACTCATTTTTCAGTTAAAGGCAGTTCACCATTGAATTCAGTGATGTCATCATCCAGCTCAGTTCAGTTTAAATAGTATCTGTGCAATCATGTCAACTATATCGCTGGAAATTAAGTGTCCCCAACTAAGCAAGCCAGAGGCGACAGTGGCAAGGAACCAAAACTCCATCGGTGACAGAATGGAGAAAAAACCTTGGGAGAAACCAGGCTCAGTCGGGGGGCCAGTTCTCCTCTGGCCAGATGAAACCAGCAGTTCAATTCCAGGCTGCAGCAAAGTCACATTGTGCAGAGGACTCAACTGGTTCCTGTGGTCTTGTCCCGGTGGTCGTCTGAGACATGGTCTTTACAGGGGATCTGCATCTGGGGCTCATCTAGTTGTCCTGGTCTCCGCTGTCTTTCAGGGCTGTAGAGGTCCTTTCTAGGTGCTGATCCACCATCTGGTCTGAACACGTACTGGATCCGGGTGACTGCAGTGACCATCTGATCTGGATACAGACTAAATAAATAAATAAACAAAAGCAACAATTTTTTTTTCTGGATGTAAGCATGAAAACAATGCCTTACGGTATTGCAACGCATCAAAGCAGTCAATACAACACAGTCAAGAATAACTTAAGTAAACTGTGGACTATCTTTGACTCTTGCTGCTGACTTGAATGACGATGATTCCCGTTTGTCAGTTGATGGCCTTTAATTTTCAACTAGAAATGTGCACGCTGCTTTTCTGATGTTCACTGAAGTTTTCCGTGTCT